GTGGTTTTCTGCTGAGTCTGAGTTTATCTTCTCGTCCTGATCTGTGTTGAGAGCTGATACTGTTCCTCACCGTATCCACAAACGCGTGGGCGTCTATCTCTCTCTCGTTTAAATGAGTGATATTAGTGGACGGTGTCATTAAACTCAGCTACAGCTTAAAGACCAGATACTCCACTCACTCACCTGAACATTACCTGTCTGTCTGTCTGTCTGTCTGTCTGTCCATCCACATACAGTATCAGTCAGTAGTTTAGAGCAGGGGCGTTGAACTAAACCACTAAAAGGGCCACATTAAAAAATTTCAGCAAATCTGTGGGCCAGTTTATTTTTACTTAACATTGTGCCTTGACCCCAACTGGCCGAGGTTTAATTAAAATATGCCAAAACTACATCGGCAAACTTGAACGATTAAAAATCATTTTAATAAAAAAAACTGTTTTATGTTAAAGCAATAAGCCACTGGAGGCCGTGGGTTACAGTGATTTTATCACGGGGAAGGGTGTTCTTAGGCACGACTCCCGCCCCCCGTGTGGCTTATTTGCTGAGATTTTTTAATGTAACTCGTTGCCTCGCTGCCTCGAGTGGCTCATTGCTTTTATAAAACGGCAGCCAACATAAAATATATTAAAATACACAATGTTTTAGATACTTATTTAAGTTATTATTAATAGTAACCGACATAAACAAGTATTCCACCAAGAAATGTAGTTCCTTTAGAGTACGGTGTCGTTACTAAGCAAACATTAGCCACGTTTACATGCAGCCTGATAATCCGTTAATAATCCGACTAATAGCTCGATCGGAATAGAACATGTCCATGTAAACACCTCAATCGGAATAGTCTAATCCGATTGAGGCCATTCGGAATACAATTTCTATCCGATTAAACGAGGTGGGTAAACTTCTAAATAATCCGTTAAATAGAAGAATAATAGCCATGTAAACGCCTGAATCCGGTTACATTCCAATCGGAACGTGTAAGTATGTTCTGCGCATGTGCGTCGCGTCACGGCGAAAGTTTACACCGCTCAACATGGCGGAGCAGAAACTGGTCTGGACCTCACGTGATGTTCGCTGTCATGGTAACGTTTACTCTAAGCGCTACTCCACGCATGTGCGTCATTTTGCATCGGATTACTTGTAGTGAGCATGTAAACGAAGATTTTCCATCAGATTGTTGAATAGAGTGCATATAAACACCTCAGTCTAAATCTATAATCGGATTGTATTCAATCGGATTGGCAAAAATTGTTGCATGTAAACACAGCCACTGACTGCTGAATGAGGAGAAGAACGTTCGGTCGCCCATCACTGTAAACTGCACACATTTCCTGATTTTTAAAACTTTTTGTCGTATAACAGTGAACATATGAAAACACAGCACTGTTTAATGTAAATACTTTCAGTTTATAAGTACTTTTTGGTCATCAAATAACCACTTCTGCCAGTCTGACGCAGCTACTTTACTCACACTGGGGCTGAATCTCAAACAGCTCCCTGCTCCCTACATAGTGCACTACATAGGAATTTAAACACTGACTCCTGCAGCCCAACAGAGCAAAATATGTATAAAAGTGGTCATTTGGGATTCATCCGCATTCAGACTCGACAGGCAGTGCAGTATTTGACAGCAGAAGCTAGAATTCCTAAACTCAGAGACTCGACTCAGACTCGCAGCTCAAAGACTCGAGACTCAACTCAGACTGAGATTTCAGAGACTTGACTCAGACTCTCACCTCAGAGACTCGAGACTCTGCTTGGACTCACATCCAAGAGACTGGACTCACACTCACACCTCATAGACTCAACTCAGACTCACACCTCACAGACTCAACTCTTGACTCTGGCTTGAGACTCGACTCAGACTCACTTCAGAGGCTCGACTCGAACTCCCACCTCAGAGACTCGAGACTCAACTTAGACTGAGATTTCAGAGACTTGATTAAGACTCTCACCTCAGAGACTCAAGACTCTACTTGGACTCACATCCAAGAGACTGGACTCTCACTCACACCTCATAGACTCGACTCAGACTCAACTCTTGACTCTGTCTTGAGACTCAACTCAGACTCACTTCAGAGGCTTGACTCGAACTCCCACCTCAGAGACTCGAGACTCAACTTAGACTGAGATTTCAGAGACTTGATTAAGACTCTCACCTCAGAGACTCAAGACTCTACTTGGACTCACATCCAAGAGACTGGACTCACACTCGCACCTCATAGACTCAACTCAGACTCAACTCTTGACTCTGGCTTGAGACTCGACTCAGACTCACTTCAGAGGCTCGACTCGAACTCCCACCTCAGAGACTCGAGACCCAACTTAGACTGAGATTTCAGAGACTTGACTCACAATCACACCTCATAGACTCGACTCAGACTCACACCTCACAGACTCAACTCTTGACTCTAGCTTGAAACTCGACTCAGACTCACTTCAGAGACTTGACTTGAACCCGCACCTCAGAGACTCAAGACTCAACTTGAATTTGCACTTCAGAGACTAGATACTCGACTCAGATTTGAATCTCAAAGACTTGAGACTCTAAATTTCTTAGCTTTAATTCATCTGCATTCAGACTCGACAGGCAGTGCACTATTTGACAACAGAGGCTAGAAATTCTAGGCTTAATGTGACACAGCACACTATTTAGGGAGTACGGAGCCGTTTGGGACTCAGCCTGGGTTTGACATGATTTCTGACTGAAACACGAACATTTGAAGTGTGTAAGTCATTCAGGTGATCAGGTGATCGTAAGTGCTTTAATTCAAGCCTGTGATGTTAATGTTGGAGTTGTTTAGGCTGTTGGCTCTTGTAGCCTGTCGATTAGCTGACCAGCCTAGTTCTAGATAAGAAAATACCTTTTCAGCCCCTCAGTTTAAACAAAAAAACAGGTTCTTACTTCATCAGTTCACTCGGTGCTCCATGCGATCAGCATTAGAGTCAAAGATTAATCCATTACAGCAGAAGGGCTTTTGTGCCGTGGCGCACTAACACAGCAGGCGGTCAGACCCGAGGTTTATTGTGGCTCTTACAACAGCTTCAAACGCGGCTCAGCCAATCAGATTTTAGGACCGGAACTATCCGTTTAATATAAAACAATAGACCACATTACCTTCAGAGAACGGTTAAACCTCTTTAAATGTCTCCAATGTACCTGTAATGTTTTTGTGCAGCTGTCCCACAGATCGTCCTTTAGGAGGGGGTGGGAGCACACGTTAAGTTGCAGTGCATGCTGGGAACTGTAGTGCAGTTCATAGTGAAATGGGCTAACATTAACAGAAAATTAAACTAATTTTGCAGGCCGAATAGGACGGTGTCACGGGCCTGACTCGGCCCGCGGGCCTTATGTTTGACACATTGGCTTTGAGACCACACAGTTTATTCATTTAAGGTCTACATATTTTCAGTTTGTAAGTGAAACAGCCCTGTTGGTTCATTTTCTGAGTGCGTGTTATTTGTTAGGGACGTCCCAACCCAGTTTTTTTTTGTCCCTCAAACTGAGCTGGTCTCAGTTAAAAAGGGAAATTCCACCCATTTCTCAAAATACCTGTGTCGAGCTGGAAACAGAATCAAGTGTTTTAATGTGAAGAGCTCCTCTCCAGAGAAACTGACTGCGAATGGCTGATTGTTGGTTGATTTGCAATAGAATTGAATATAGTGACATCTGGTAGATTGCAATATATTTTTAATATAGTAGAAGCTGTTCGACTGCAGTATAATGTAATATGGAGGTTTGGTTGGTTGGTTATAACTGAATATAATGGTAGCTGGTTGATTGCAATACATAAATGACCACATTCATAAAGATCCATATATTTTTTGTCTTATTTTATTTTTACTTAACAAATTGTTCTGTATAAAACAATAGACTACATAAGCTGCAGATCACTGTTAAACCTCTTTAAATGTCCCCAGTGAACGGTAGGTTTATTAAAACTGCCCATTCGCTTAACCAGACACCTGGTTTTTGTGGTGCTGTTCCATAGATCGTTGCTGGGGAGTGGGTGGGAGCACACATTGCAGTGCATGCTGGGAACCGTAGTGCAGCTCATGCTGAAATGGGCTGATATTAATAGAAAATTAAAATAATCTTAATAGGATTGTGTCACGGGCCTGACTTAGTCCACAGGCCTTGTGTTTGACACATAGGGTTAAGACCCACCTGCCTGAATGGGTGTTTTTCATTTTAACGTTCTGCATAAATTAATGTAGTTACTTTATATTTGTATAATAGAAAAAAACAACCATTGTATAATTGTAGTAAGTGCAAAAGGTTGGACACCCTTCTAATTCAGCCCTTATTGCCTCTTTCTTTGGCAGATATGACAGCTTATACACTTTTGTAGCCAGCTAGAGATATTTCTATGTTTGTTTTAGGACTTTTTGTGCACTTTTCCAGTTCTGAGATATTCTTGGACCGTCTTACATGTACAGCACGTTTAAGATCCTCAGATTTTTAATAAGGCGACTGTGCGGTTCACTTTAAAAGCTTGTGTTTCTTGAAGTAGTTCATGGTAGATTTTAAGGTTTGTTTAGGATCATTGTCCTCTTGTAGGCACCAGCCTCTTTCAGAATCATTTTCTATTTATTCTATCTTTTTTTTTTTTTCCTTTTCCCAATTTTCTCCCCAGTTTAGTCATCTCCAATTCCACCCGCTAGTCACGACTCCCCCAATCACATGAGGTGTTCACCCCTTATTGGGTTATGAAGCCTAAAAGCAGAGAAAGAGTACCAGGGTACGAAGTGGACTTTGGGTCATGTTCGGAGCCAGATTACTCGCTTATGCTTGGTCACACCTCCGTGGGGTCACTCTAGCTAGAGAGGGCGGGGTCTGCTGACTTTTCTCATATGTGTATCATGTCTGTAGCTTGAACCGTTCCGAAGTTGTGATGGCTAGAATACAGCCATGAAAACAGCGTCGGGTTCTGATTTCTCTGGTCAGTGTGGCTCTTATTCTGATGGACGTCTGCATTTGTCTCTCCATGTGTGTTTAGGTGGCGGCCCGGGCCGGAGTTTACGACCTGCTGAACCAGCTGGGCTTCTCCGAGTTTGAGAACCTGAAAGACTCAACCCTCGCTCGCCTCCGCTTCCGCTGGCAAGAACAAAACCTCCCAGAACCTTCCCTTCAGAGGAGAACTCATCTGAGAGAGAGAGAGAGAGAGAGAGAGACGCACTGTGACCTGTGAAAGAAAAAACAAGCGTAATCTGAAGATGCTGTGCATTTATTTGATCACTGTGCATTCAGAGCAGATTTATTTTCAATACTCGTCGTTTTTTTTAATTGCTGTCGTCGTTAGATTGTTTTTGTTTGTAGTGGATTCATCCAGGGCACACGCTAAACCTTTAACACCAGCCACAGCTGTTTAACCCTCTAAACTCCAGGCTTGTTAATCTTAAAGCGAGAGTTCACATAAAATTTACCCCTCTCACCCCAAATATCGGCGATCGTACAAGATATCGCCGCTGTCCAGAGAAGAAGAAGTATCTCTAAAACGGCCAAAACATTTTAACTTTGACTATAATTTAATGTATTTTATTGAATGCCATGTTGGATCATTTCTATTGGTCCACGTTCATCATGAAATTGAATAATAATACAACATAATGGGCAACTGGTTTCTCAAATGATGTAGAAAAATGAAAAAGTGAATCGTTTACTTTTGGACAGTGACGATATATTTGGTGCTTCTTTAGTTTTGCACTAGGCTCATTTTGCTAACAATTAATGGAAGCTCATACCCCACCAATTAGCATGCTAACTGTTTGCCTACATCATTACCCGTTTGCCTCGGTCCGTGTCGGGTTGTTATTGATCTCAAATAGACTCGATCTTCTGGTTTCTAACACTGAATTTTATAAAAAAAAAAGTGAAGCCACTGTTTTTAGCTATGCTAACACTCTTCATAGTCCATGTTTATAGATAATAGTGAGTCATACAGTGTCAGAAACCATGTAATCAAGTCTATTAGAGACACTGAACACAGTTTGAGGCAAGTTTGTGATGCTTTAAGCCTGCAGTTAGCGCCAGTGCTAAAACTAAAGAAGCTTCAGACGCCAAACATGACTTAGCTGATCGACTAAGTGGGGCGTAAGCAGGTAGAAACTGCGCACGTTAGAATTTTTTGCTAAAACTGTCGCTTTAAAACAGTGAGCTTTCGACATCACCACTGTTCACTGTGCTAGAGTCAGCGTCTTTCACCCGAACCCACAGATCTCACTCCTGCTTGCATCAATTCCTTTAAAAAATGACGTTTTCCACACGCAGAGGGCATCGATGGCCGCTTAGCCACTAGAAAAGCAGTATTAGGTTCCTGTTTTTATGTAAACGTCCACATTCATGATCATGTTTGTGTTGAAACTGTTATAAATGTGAGCTTTCTCCTCATTTCATTGCTGTTTCACAGATCTGTCCCTAAATTCCAGCTTTAAATGACCAGAACGTGCTTTTATTCCATCTGTTTTAGCTTGTATAGTTTATTAATCCTGATCACTTTCACTCATTTGCCTTTTTAAAATAATAGTAATTGTTGTTATTGTTATTGTTATTATTGGAGAATAGATTCCGATTCCTGAAGAAACCACTGTTGCATTTTGTTTTTTGTTTTGTAAAGATGCGTACAGTATTTTCAAATGAGATGTTTTTTTGCACTCTCCATTAAACAAGGTTTCTTACCTCTCAGCTTCAGTCTGTGTGTGTTAATGGAACTGAAGGTGGAAGAAAAGCACAGAATGAAATCTGCAGCCGCGTGTCGTCCAGGTATTAACTCAGCGCTCCGTGACCCCTCATAAATACGGGGAATAAATCAGGATAAGAGATTTCCGCATGTTTCACCACTTCATTTTTTTTTTTACTTTTTCCATGCACCTAATCATTCTTCCTCTTCAGTAGGCGGTCAAGCTGCGCACACTGAATTGATGGATTCACAAAGAGAAAGAATGAAATTCCAGTCATCCCTGGAGCCGGACGCCACTGATGTGGACATTGGATCGGAAGTGGACGGCCCACTGGTGATTTCGGGCGTAAAAAGTCTCGGCGCACCACAGAGAAAGAAACGAATGGATAAAAGTGTGTCCAAGAAACCAAGTGTGTGGTCCAGAGTTATTATATCTCTGAAATTATCATTGGCTTTTTGTTTTAGTTTTCAATTCCAGCTTAGTTTCAGTGAGTTTTAAGGGTGCATTAATAGTCTGAGTTTTGTTTTGGTTTAACAGCAGTTTCACAGTGCTGTGAAAAAGTATTTGTCCCCTTCTGGTTTCCTCTGCTGTTCGCTTTTGTTGCTCTAAATGGTTTCAGATTCTCATGCAAAACGTAGAGCAAGAGGAAACACAGAAGACGGTTTTTAAACCATCATTTATTGAAGGAAAAAAGGTTTTGCAACATTTATATCACTCCTGCAGAAAACTAGGCCCACCTAGACTTAACTGGCTGCAAACGCTTTCTATAGGTGAAGATCAGGCTTTAATCGCGGTGGAGGAATTTTGTCCTGCTCTTCTCTTTAGAACTGCTTTAATTCAGCCACACTGGGGGGCTTTCAAGCATGAAGGTCCTGTCACAGCATCTCAGTGGGTTTCAAGATGGGACTTTGACTAGACCACTCCAAAACCTTCATAAACATCTTTTTGTTTATCACTTTTTTGTCACTTTGGATCGTTGTCTCACCGTAGAACCCAATTTTGCCAAAGCTTCAGATCGCACACTGATTACCAGACGTTCTTCTGCAGGATTTCCTGGTAGAGAGAAAAATTTGTGGTTCTGTCAATTACGGAAAGTCACCCAGGCCCTGAAGCAGCAAACCATCCCTCATACTATCACACTACCACCACCATGTTTCACTGCTGGTGTAATCTTCTTATTGTGGAAGCTGTGTTAGCTGTACTCCAGATGTGACGGGACTCTTCCACTTTTAAGTTATCAGTCCACAGAACATTCATCAGGGTGTTTTTGGCAAATACGAGGCGAGGCTTAACGTTCCTGTTGGTTAGCAGGGTTTTTCACCTTGCGACTCTCCATTAGATACCTTTTTTTTTTTCCAACCATCCATGAAGAGATGCTAGCCAGACATGCTGAGATGCAAGCAGAAAGTTTCAGAAGGTGGGAAGGAAAGGGGGAGTTGGCATAGCAGTGGAAGAAGTCATGAGAAGATATTACTTTGCCAAGAGAGTAAGAAAAAAGGAAAAAGAGAAGGGGGACCCAGCATGGAGCCTTGTGGGACACCGGTGAAGAGTCTGCATGGAGCGGATATGGATGTCCTCTCCACGTTACCTAATAAGAGTGCACCTCCAAACCACAGCTAGCCGAAAAGTGTGTAGGGAGCATCCTTCTGGTCTGGTGGAGTGAAGACAAAGGTTAATTGAACAGGAGAGTGATGAAAGGAAAGCGATTTCCAGGGAGAGAAGATAAGTCAGGGTGGGAGAGTGTGAAAGAGAAAGTGTGATCTGAGAAGTGGAGGAGGGTCACTCTGATAAACATCCATTTCATTGCCTCCTCAACAGGGGAAACTTGTTGAGGGGGAGGTTGGAAAATCATAACAGTAGAGCAAAGCAGAATGAATGCAGCTGAAAAGTCATTGGGGGGGCGCGGTCAGGGAGAGACTCAGAAGGAGGTCCAGCTCATCTGTGAAGTTGCCTAGAGGACAGGGAGGGTGATAAATGACAGTGATATTGTGCCAGCTGCTATGGGGGTGTGCCAGCCTCATGAGCGTAGAAGCTCAGTTTTGCAGATTTCCGTTACACCCCCTGTTAAAGGGATCATTCATGTTGTTTGAGTTGTGCTTGTGTGTTTTGTGTGTTGTTTTGTGTTGGAGGTGTGGATTCATTTCCATGGGATTAACTCAGGGGTCGCAACCCAAATGTTAAGAAGAGACATTTGTCCTTTTAAAAAAGTCAAACCACCTTGGGAGCCACAATTATTCATGTCCATTTTACCATCTTGGCTGTAAATATGTCTCAGTATGTGTTAATGTACTAGTATAGGATAAAAAATATAAACAAAAATGCAGGCTTACTTTGCTTTAAGCTCTAGCTGAGTTATAGCTGCTTTTCTCGCATATCTGGCAGGAAACTTTTCCTCAAAACTAGAACAGCTTCTTGTAAAATATCTCTCAACGTTCGACTTTTTACGAGGCTGAAGTCGCTTCTCATTCATCAGCTTCTTGTTCGAATTTTCCTGTTCCACCTTAAATGATGTCTGAGGTACGAGAATGTATCTGCTGCACCATTTAAGGTGGAAAAATTCGAATAAGAAGCGACTGCATGACTTTTTAGTGTTTGTCAGTTTCTTGTTGCAGATTAAACGAATCAGGAAACCAGCTGGAGTGATTATAAACGTCCATTCATCTCCAAATTATCGATGTTCATCTTAAATCTCTCTTTTTGCCGTTTCGTTAGCTACTAGCTTGGCGAGATTGTTATCTGTGTTGCTATGGTGACCAGCAGTCTGCGCTGATCTTCAGGGTTAAAGGGTGAATCAGCAGTTCTACATTAACTCCAGAGTTTAAGACCATTTATTGTTAAACTGTGTTGAACGATCAGCAGAGCTTTATTTTACTGTGAAGGAGGATTATTTTATTTTTACCTACAAATCTGATTCAGCTGTGGAGCCACAACAGGACAGTAAAAGAGCCACATGTGGCTGCGGAGCTGCATATTGCCGACCCCTGAGTTAGCTGTTTACCATTAAGAGAAAGTACGGGGCTAGGAGTGACCAGCCTTCATTTCCCTTATTTCTGCAGTTGCTTTTTCTGCCATGTTCATCATTAAAGAGCCTTACTGAGCGTTCTGGTGTACCAATGTGTATTGCGGTGGATTTTTGGGGGGGCAGCAGTGGGTAAAAATGATGCTTTTCCTGCATTCGATCTGCGTTTCGGACACCACCGGGAACCAACATAGGGTTAGCACTGGAGCTTCAAGGCTAATGTAGCTAACAAGTAATGTAAGCTTATATGTCACCTATTAGCACAGTGCTAACTGTAACAACACTGCACAAAATAAGGCACTTACATATTTACTTATCCTCGCTTTTAAGTCAAAACCTCATATCTCTAAAATGAAAACTTTACAGGAAAAAATTAAAGGTTTTTTAAAATATGTTAATGTACATTACGACATTCCGAGTAATTTGGGATTAGTTTATTAGTCTATTCATCATTAACTGTTCACGCTGTATAAAGGGCAGCTGGAGTTTTCAGTGTTTCTAATACTGTTATGGACAAACGTATGCTAGCTTAGATAAAGGCAGCCATCTGGAAGTCTGAGCTGTGTCTGTACTTTGTGTCCACTTTTATAGATAACAACATCATACTTAAGCAACAGAACCCGAGAGGGAGTGTGTTATCGCCAATGACATCACTGTGATTTGGTCTCCATAGATCATCACAGCCGTGATGTTATTGGCGATAACACACTCCTCGAGTGTTCTACTGCTTTAATGCAACAGTTAAATAAATACAGTAATAAATTAATAAACTGGGCCGTGAACGCGGCGTTTAATATGTTTTAATGTTCGCAGTTCCTTCACCAAATTAATGTTCCTTAACGAGCAGCTTGTTGCTACGTCAGAGTAACGAGCTCCGCCCACTCGCTGCACAGCCGGCACTTCGTTCTCCAGCTCCTTACACAGACAAGCTAAGAGTTTGGGAATTTAGTGTCGTCTCATTTTCAGAGTCTGACCAAATCGGCTGTCGGTCAAATGTGATCTTAAAAGTGTCCGTTTTCTGTTTGTGGCAAAGTAAGAAGTAAAAACGTTCAAATGTCTTGAGCGTCTCCTACAGCTGTCAAAGTCGTTGCTTAGCAACGGCGTCTCACCGGAGTGATACAGTGTTTGTGAAAAACCTGTGATGTTGTGGTGAAATAACAGCACAGTTAGAGCGCTTCTCAACCAATCAGCTTTCGTGGCCGGAACTAACTGTTGTATAATAGCACTAAGCTAACGGTGGTGCACATGACTTTTACCTTGACCATTTAACATGACCTGAAGCTTATAACAGACACTATCATATATCTGAGCTTGTATGTATCAGTTTTACAGTGACTCAGTAAAGAGTCCTGCATGGAGCTGCCGCACATTCCTAACAACTAACCGGAACACTGCTTAGACTACAGCTGGTATTCACAGTCAGTGATGTATCTAGAACCTCCATAATGCGGTTTTTCCTGAAAATGTTCCCAAAGCGTGGTTGGTTGCTTCCTCTGTCACTTCCTCATTATGTTGGTAGTTAATGTAACAAGGCCTTCTGTCCAGCTCCTGAAATCCTAACCAATGGGAGAGCAGCTCAGCTGTATCAACCTAGATACCACAGAGAACACAATCCTGATTGGACTGTTTTTGTTGTTTGTTTCAAGAATTGAATCCTTTTTGTTTTCAACCAAAAATAATTTTCCACATAATTCAGTGTGTGAGGTGTAAACAGAGTGATTCAGAGTGGTTTGGTGTGAAATGGTTCAGATGTCTTTACAGTGGTGGTCATAGGAACCAGGGGTTGCCATGACTACAACACAAATATAGACATTTTATTTACTATCCAAAACCACCAGTGAACCTTCACGAGTCTTCTGAGTTTATTTGGAATGTTGATGATGGGAAATAGTCATAAATGTGAAATAATACGTTTTCTTTGGGGACTATTTTGCCTTACAACGCCCTGCATATTATGTATCCCTCCACCATGAATGGATTTTAAG